AAAACCTACTGTGTTTCTTTGTGATATTGCTCGAGTTCAAAAAGAGGTACTGAAATTTGAGCCAGGTCGTATTGATGGTATCGATGATGAGATGATGGTGATGATGATGATGATGATGGTGATGATGATGATGATGATGATGATGATGATGATGATGATGATGATGATGATGATGGTATTGAATAAGTCCACCAGGTCAAAGATCGTGTATAACATGATAGTTCAGTCCTCTCTTTGTGTCAATTAAAAAATGTCCTAAAAAAATAAAGGGAATACCTACTCCATAGATGATGATGATGATGATGATGATGATGATGATGATGATGATGATGATGATGATGATGATGATGATGATGATGATGATGGTATTGAATAAATCCACCAGGTGAAAGATAGTGTATAACAAGATAGTTCACTCCTCTCTTTGAGCAAATTTAAAATGCGTCCTCAAAATTCGGTGGCGCCCTCTTCGAAAAAGCGCGGACTTTGCGAACAGAGCTACCCTACTTGTGTGAAAAACAATAAAAGTGAAACTAACAAACTGCGCTATTCCTATTCTTCTCGTTGAGAAACGAAAGAGAGCTTCAAAACAAAAACTGCAGCGCCATCAGAAGTAATGCGCGGACTTCCGGGGACCCTTTTTTGGCTGAGTGAACAATCTTGCTATGTACGATCTTTGACCATGTATGCCAAAAGGAATTCATTAGGTTTCTTCACACGGACCAAAACACCACATAAACAGACTGTTTCATAATTATTAAAAACGTTATACAGTATTATAGCATCGGAAAAAAAGTAATGAGAAAAAAGAAAGAAAAGCAGAAACAGTCTTGATACTTTGCAAATGAAAGAGGTCTAATGTACACCAAAAATCCATATCTTCGGCAAAGATCGTTCATAACAAAATTGTTCACTCTGCAAAAAAAAAAAAGTGTCCGCTTTTCCTTCAGATAGCCTGCAGTCTCTGTTTTGATGTTCTCTTTCGTTTCTCCAGAAGAAGAATAGGAATAGCACAGTTAGTTAATTTCACTTTTATTGTTCTTCACACAAATAAGGTAACTCTGATCGCAAAGTTCGCACTTTTTCGAATAGGGCGCCACCGAATTTTGAGGACACATTTTTAATTGGCTCAAAGAGAGGAGTGAACTGTGTTGTTATACACGATCTATGCCAAATATCCATATCTTCGGTATTCACCGAATACGTTAAAAGAGAATCGGTACCAACATTAAAAAAATCTGGCGCTAATTTCCCTTGCATTAGACCAACACCGCGTGAACGTTTTTTTGGGTTTTTTTTCTATTAAAAAAAAACAAAACCATACCATTTTTTGGTTGTAATAAGCGTACCGTATGGCGAGATGTGGTAGTGTGTCGCGTGTCCCAGATTGTGTTTTTTTTAACAGTAATTTACATTTTGTTGCAACATGACGTAAAAAAGTGATAAAGGTGGGTTGAATGAGGAGGAGGGGGCGGAGGAGGAGGAGAAAGAGGAGAGGGAGGAAAGGAGGAGGAGGAGGAGGA